AATGATGATGGCGATGATCGTTATCACTAATGATAATGAAGCGTTGATGACAATAAGGATATCATAAGGAAGTGATACCGATGAAGATGGTGATGAAAACGATGATGATAAATGCGATAACAACAGTCGCGGTGATGACACAATCTTAGCTATGATTAAGATGGTGAAAAAAGCAGTTATGGACGAAAAAAAGCGTGAAAGATGTTGCTATGCAAAATCCAGCCCGTTAGTTCTTCAAATGACGGCCGAGATAGTCATTACATTTTGCGCTTTGCTGAGATAAATGCAGAGTGTGTATGGATTTACCGGGTAAACGGTACTGCGTTGATACCTGAGCATACTGGATATATTTCCGATATTGACACTTTTTGTGATCTGGCTTGGGCTTTTGTTCGAATTCCTAATATGGGCTACGAACCAGGATGCATTTCATTTCGAAACAATAGGATAAAAGGGATTGGACTAAATGTCATGTGTAAGAAGATATGTTAGGGTGCAGTCTGTGTTTCATCTCTTAGCTGTAAACGTAGACCGAACTCCGCGTGCTGGCAGGAGTGAGAATCAACAGTATAGCCTCTTACCCGCTATTTGCTGAACAATCATGTGACTGATTTGCAAGACGGATATAAGGAAGAACAGGCGGAATCCCGGAATCCACTAGGCTGAAATTTTACGGTAATGACACTCTGCCCACGCTAGGCCTATTCAAATTCAGCGTTCCCGTGCTCTCGGGTATTACCTACGACCTCGTGAAAATTTTGCGGATAAATTATCATCTTGGGAACCGCGGAATCTAAGAAGCTGAAATTTTAGGGTAATGACCTTTTGCCCACGTTCGATCTTGCACATTCAAATTTAACGTTCCCACACTCGCGGATACTACAAATGGTCCATGAAAGTTTTGGCGGGTAAATTATTTTCTCGGGAACCACTGAAGCTAGGAAGCTGAAATTTTATGAGTGTGCTCCTTATCCGCACGTGACCTAGAAAATTTAAATTCAGCCGTTCCGCACTCGTGGGTATCATCTACTGCCTCGTGAAAATTTTTGCAGGTAAATTACTATCTCCGGAACTACGAATCTAGGAAGCTGAAATTT